TTATAAAACAAAACATCATTCCTGGAAGCTACCGCATTAAGGCCACTACTTTAAGTCTTTTGTGGAAAATCCTGCCTTTTATTGACTTCTTCAATATGTTTCTTAAAAGGCATAAACCTGTTTGCTCTGAAGATAAGACGTTTCTTAAACATGCACCCCTGTTGTATAAAGTGCGAAGGGAAGTGTAGAGGAAGGGAATAATCAGTCTAGAAGAGGTTTAATCAGAAAAGGGTGGAGGTCCCCTTCAAGCCAAATCTTGAAAACAGCTCAGGACTGGGACTCGTAGAGTAGGGGCAGCAGGAATATCACAAAGGGGAGGGTTGGGCTTCCCTGGTGGCGCAGTGGTTGAGAGTCCGCCTGCCGATGCAGGGGACACAGGTTCGTGCCCCAGGCCAGGAAGATCCCACATGCCGCGAAGCGGCTGGGCCCGTGAGCCATGGCCGTGGAGCCTGCGCGTCCGGAGCCTGTGTTCCGCAACGGGAGAGGCCACAACAGTGAGAGGCCAGCGTACAGAAAAAAAAAGGGGAGGGTTTGTGGGGAAGGCATTCTGAAGCCACAGCTCTTAACTCCCCCATTACTATCAGAAATCCTTCTAAATCAAATTCAGTGCTCAGCTGTAGGTCTTCATGCCTGCCCTGTCCACTCCCATCTATAATTTGTACTGAGAAAATTGTGCAATTTCTTCGCAGGAGGTGATCTTCAAGTTCATTTTGTTCTCACTCTTCATTTTATTTACTGTCATTATAGGGTTATCTCAGGGGCTCATACTTTACTCAGAGTTTAGGCACCAGGTGATAAGGGTCTCGGCGCAAAAAGACAGAAAAAGACAAGAAGGGAGACATTTCGAAAAGAAAACCCGTAGTCCTCAGTACAGTACCAGGTAGCTGTTAAAATACAGGCTCTGGAGCCAGACTGCCTAGGTCGCAATCTCAGCTCTTTCCTTTAAAGCTCCTTCCTGTGACCTTGGGCAGGTTACTAACCCTCTCTCACCTCCCATTCCTTGTCCGCCAAGTCTGATAATAATAAAGTTCCTGCCTCATCAGGTTGTGACGATTCATTGAGCTAATGCTAGTAAAAATGCTTAGGCCACTGTCTGAAACATGGGTGCATTTAGCAACAACACCTGGGTATTGGCATTTAGTAAATATTTGCAGAGCAAACAAACGGGCAACTTCAACAGACTTGTGGAGGCTAAGAGAGTGCTTGGGGCACAAATGATGAATTGTGGTGCCTAGAGGAGAGGATGGGAAAGGAGGGACAGCAACTAAAAAGGGAAAACAGAACCAAAGGAAGGTTTGCTCAAGCAGGAGAGACCTGCGCTCATCCCACTGTGGTTGGAGGACAGTGGCAAAGGGTGGAATTGAAGGGAAGATGCTATAAAGGATAAGGCTCCTAGAGGGGGCACGAAGGGATGGGGCACTCAGTCTGGGTAGGTTTGAAGGGCAGGGCTCAGGGAGACCTTAGAGCTGGTTGTCCCCTGTGACAGCACTGTAAGTCACAAACTGTCCTACCACAGGGAGGCCAGGGACCAGTTGGCTGTTGAAACAACCTTGTATAACCCTTCACGCCTGAGATGGCTGGGTATGTTTTCGTGTGAAGGAATCCTTCTTCTCTGTACCTTATGCTACAATAGAATGAAATCTAAATCTGATACCAAGGGGTTTATTAACTGCTCCGTTTTATCAATTAACTGACTCACAGGAGGTAAAATTCACCACCCACAATTGATAGGCTGTTCAGGGAGTTTGTTTGACTTATTGATTTGGGTGGGTTAAAAAAGAATCACAAGCTGGTTATCATCTTGTTACCTTTGCCCTGCCTTTTGCCCGTTTCTTTTTTTACTGTCTAAATTAGATTCGGTTTCCTAGGTTTTCCTGAAAATCCTCCCCAGACACCGGAGTCATAATCACCTTTCTCCAAATGCACCATAAATAGTTCTTCTCTTCAGCTGGGTTAAGCAGAGCAAGAACTCACAGTGCAGATGTTCGAAACACTGCTTAACGGTGCTGATAAAGAGAAGCTGAATAACTTCAGGATTAAAGAAAGACAGTGAAGGTCACTGAGCAAGCTCTGATTCCATATACCCTGGACCTGACCACGGAGGGTATACACAGTGATCACATAGCTATAGCTCTGCGTTTGTGTGTGTGCACCTGTGCATGTAGACACACATACCCAACCATCCCTTACAGTTCACCCTTCAGCCTCCCTTGGCTTCTCTGGGTTCTACTATTGGTCTTTGTAAAGTGCTTAGCACAGAGCCTGGCACATGGTAAGTGCTACGTACATTGGCTAGTGTTTTTCCTTCCCAACTGACAGCATCTCCCAGGCTCCGTCCACCCCTCTTAATCCTAACTGCCAAGTCTTTATCTTCAGCCCTGATCTCTCTTCCAACTCCTAATCACTTAGGAGGCACCAGGCTGCGGTCCCTGTAACTTCCCACATGAAACTCCTAATCAAGCCCCTCCCCGACCACACACACTCACACAACCAGCTCCTTGCAACTTCCCTATTACTCTTGTCCTTCTGGACTCAAGACTTGCAGAATGTTACCAGGGAAACCTAGACCTTGGATCCTTCAGAAGATGGAGTTGTCTCAACTCTGCCCATGCCCATGTCCTCAGTTCTGTGCCCATCCACTCCAAGGGACTAGGGATATCCCAGCCACAATCATCCCTGGGCCAAGTACTAGGAATGGGCTATCCCAAGCCGCAACACCTTGAAAACGGCCAATGCCTCCTTTGCACAGACACCTCCCCAGGCCCAGGACTCTGCTCTCTACAGCCTTTGCAAATGGCTGATCGGTAGCTGGGGCTGAGGTTCGTGAGGAAATGTGTGGGTAGGCTCAGACAGGAGGTAAGAGGTTCAGCTTAAGAGTCATGAGTTCAGATCCTGTTCGACCACCCACAATTCCTACCCCTCCCCATTGTAAAGAGTGAAGGGCCATTTTGTAGAAGGTGCCTACCAGGGCTTCCCTGGTGGCGCAGTGGTTGAGAGTCTGCCTGCCGATGCAGGGGACACGGGTTCGTGCCCCGGTCCGGGAAGATCCCACATGCCGCGGAGCGGCTGGGCCCGTGAGCCATGGACGCTGAGCCTGCGCGTCTGGAGGCTGTGCTCCGCAACGGGAGAGGCCACAACAGTGAGGGGCCCGCGTACCGCAAAACAAAAACAAAAACAAAAAGGTGCCTACCAGGGTTCCTGCCCAAACAGGGCTCAGTCCCCTTTCTCCCTCTCTCCACCTCGCTTCTCAGCTCCTGAAGATCTTCAGGTCCTGTCAGTCTACAGTCACCACTCTAATTTCATTCCTGAGTGCTGTCCTGGCCATGTTGCAGACCCAGAAGACAGCTGCATTGGGTGAGACCTCACCATCTTGGCCCTATGCCCTCATCTTACAGACTTGAGGTTCTAAAAAAAGCAGCCATCTACCATTTGTTATCTGTGCCTCTCTTATGCAATTCCTATTACCTTATGTGAAGGTCTCGGCCCCAAACCTGCTTATGGGTTCTTCCAGGATGTCTGAAACCCTGCCTCATCCCAGATCCCCAGCACCTTGCACATATGTGGCCGGCCTGCAAGAAAAGTTTGAAAATGGTGATGCTATTGTGTTGAGGCATTTATTGGGTCAAGGTTTTTGTGGGATGCTCTTAAGAACTTTAATAAATCCAACATGGGAGAAAATGGTGTCAAGAAAGTCTCATGGAGGTGGTACAGCATGACTGGAAGCTCTGGTTAAGGAAAGCAGGAGAAACTAGAGCCACACTGCCTGGGTTCAAATCCCAGCTCCTTAACTTAAAAGGTGGTGACTTCAGGCAAATCACTTAATCTCCTGGGCCTCGGTGTTCTCATTTATAAAATGGAGAAAATAGTGCCTACCTCATGACGAATAAAGCCATGACATAATGAGATAATGATTTAAAACACCCAGAACAGTACCTGGCACGTGTGTCAAGTGCCAACCCCCGGAATGATGACAGCAGAGACAGACCATCTGGAAGGTGTGTGGAGGTGGCCTTCTGGAAGTTCAGGAAAAGGGACTTATATGATACAGAAGCAAAAGAGGTGGCAGTGACTTGTGCTCACAGTGGAAAGGAAAGGGTGGCTGAAGTGTTAGGGCACGTGGGGCACGGTGAAGAGACAGATGGGGGCCACTGAAGGAAGAAGGGCCAGTGGTGGCAGCAAGAATCAGCAGCTGTCATTTTTTAAGCCCTTAAGTGTCCCAGACACCTCAGGTCCTCGTTTTACCCTCCCAACCAACCTATGAAGTATTATTGTTTTATACATGAGAGGAGGAAAACGCAGAGAGCTGTGACTTGCCTACTATGACACAGCTGCTGAAGAGCGGGGCTGAGTCAAACTGAGTCACTGAGCAGCCTTCCCCTGCAGCCCGTGTGAGAAGGTGCTGGGCAGGACAGGTGCCCCTGGGGCTGGTTAGCAGAGCTGGGCTGTACCCAGAAAGGTTTCCTTGTGGGAAAGGGCCCCAAGCCTGGGGAAGATAAGACTGAGGGCAGAACCAGGAGGGCCACTTAATTAACTGAACCCCCATCTGCTCAAAACACCCCATTTTACAACTACCAAATACACTGCTATAAAACCCTATTGTCTTTCCCTAGGCCACAGCTCAAGACTGGGTCAGTCTCAAAGGAGAAAATAGGCAGGCTCTGTCACCATTCTTCAGACACAAAAAAATCAGAAAATTCACCTCCCTCCACCCTCCTCCAGATACAGCAAATTGCTTGGCCTCTGCCCTCCAGCCTAGAAAGTTTCTGGACTATGTTCTTATTCCACAAAGGGCGTGAAAGCCCACCTAACATGTTTTTAAAAACCTGGACTGAATTTTCTGATCTTGTGGAACATCGACCCAGAAGCACTCATCGACTGCAGCTCCACCGGTCTCCATCTCACACCTCGACCCCAAAGTCCCCTCTCCATCACGACTTCATTATGAAAGGTGTCCCCTCTGTGCTTTTTCCCCCACCTTCCACCAAAAAGCCAAAGCATGCTCCAAAACAAAAACCAAATTTATTCAGCAGACACTTTAATTAAGAAATCCTATAAATCAGGACCACCACAATTTCAGACACTCCGGTGCGAAGTGTACGTCAATAGCTACATCTGGAGGATGAACAAGCCATTGAATCTTTTTAAAAAATTAGTTTAGCTCCTTTACAGTTTGGGGGTGGCACCTTACTTAAAGCACCGTCAAGTTTCATACGGGTAAAGCCTGCGGTTTCTCCTCTTGGAGAGTCCCATTTAAAAAACGGTTTCGGTCACTCACAAAGAGCTGGTGGCAGAAGGAAACTGAGGGGTGAAGACCCACGGAAGCTCAGGCCTATGGCTCCACAGAGGGCCAGAACAGAGCAGAAAAACAGCCGGGGTCTCATCCATGCAGTGAAGACATCAGAAAGGGTGGAATAAGAAAGGCCAGCCGGGAGGACAGGAAAAGAGACATAAGACATTGTTTATGCCTGTTTCTGAGAAAGCTCATGGCACGGCCAAGAGTGGCCTCACGGGAGGAGGAGCAGCCCTGGACAGAAGGAGAGAACAGAGAAAAAAAAATAACTCTCCTCGCACAGCCCTCTCCACCTGTGTGTCCTCTGGAGACGCTAGGAGGTGGCGAAGCACAGACAGGGCTCTTCTTGGAGCAAGAGAAAAAAGACACAGCGGTCAGTTAGCTCTCCCAGGAAGCCCACAACCTTCGGTCCAAGCACACCGTGACCTTGAAACACAGGTGGCAAGGTCAAGTCATTTAAAAGTCCACATCCACCTCGACCCACCTTCAAAATTCACCACCTCCCTACCCCCGACAACTGGAGCTCACATCTCCCACCTCGACCAGTCACCGATGTGATGGGAGAAAGGGGGCGGGCGATGCCAACACACCCACCACCAGGCTTTTACATTCTTCTTCCTTCCGGAATTTCTTTGCACAGCAATTGTAGCACCATTTTCACTAAGTTCCTCCACCGGAAAATAAAATGTATTCGTGTCATCAGTTTTCAAGTATTCTTACAAAGCCCTCGCGATTCTCGCCCCTTGGAGCCGTATCTTTAAACAATCCAAGCACACGACACCCCCAAGGGTTAAGTCAGGTACAAGTTGATGCAAATAGCTGCCATAGTTCTCCCAGTTTTACCCCAGGTTCCTGTCCCCGAGGTGGCCGGGGAAATTCTCACGCGACACGTACGCGCCCTGGCCCGTGCATTTCTCCACGCTCAAGTTTTCGCCGACAGCCTCGCCGGGGCGGGTAACTTCTCGGCTTGAGGTCTCTCCCCACTAGCTTCCTTGCAGCCTAGGCGGTCGCTCCCAGGACGGCAACGGCGGCTTCAGCTCAAGGTTGGGGAAGGCACAGGACGCCGTTGGGTCCCCGCAGCGGCTTCTTCCTCCTCCAGGGGCCCTGGGTCAGTGCAAGGCGCCGGAGGGCTGAAGGGCGACAGGGTCCGGTCGGCTGCGGCTGCCCCCGGGTCCGGGGGGTGCCGCGGGGCCCGTGGCTGCCACCGCGGCGACGGCTCGCTGGAGCCTCCGCACGGCCTCCTTGATGAGGTTCCCCGAGAGCACCAGCTGCTGCAGGAGCCTGTGCGGGTCGTCGTCGTTGGCGCGCGCCCCGGCTGGGGGCCATCGTCGCTGTTGCAGGCGGCGGGAGGCGACAGCGCCCCGCAGCCATCCTCGCCGGCACGGCCCGGGCAGCGCGCTGGGGCTTGCGGCGAGCTCGGCCACAAAGTAGGGCGCAGCCCGGCCCCGCACCCGGCCACGGTCCCCGAGGGCGCAGCGCAGGGCCCCCGGGGGCGCCGGACCCCCAGTCTCGGCCGAGGCGGGCGGCAGAAGCAACGGCAGAGCCGGGGCTCGGGCCTTGTCCGCCCGCACCACCGCCGGGGGTCGCGGGGGCTGCAGTGGCGGCCCCGGGGGCGCGCACGGGGAGGCAGGGCGGTCCTGCGCCGCGTCCAGCTGCAGCGTCTCGCCGATCTGGGCCACCAGCCGGTCCACCTCGCCCGAGCCGCCCAGAGTCACCGACTGTTCCAGTAGGAGGAAGCTGTCCTCCTCCTCCTCCTCTTCCTCCTCTTCCTCGCCGGCTTCCTCTTCCTCCTCCCTCCGGCACGGCATGGCCCCCCCGCGCGGGCACCCGGAGCTCTGCGGGAGTCGCCGGCGGCTCGGCTGCCCCCGGGACTCGGTGGGCCGCGGCGGAGCCGGGCGCGGTGCTGAGGCCGAAGCCGGAGCCGGGGCGGACGCGGAAGCCGGAGCCCGCCAGGCACTCTCGCCGCGCGCCTGCAGTCGCGGGAGCCGGAATCCTACCGGCTCGGGTTGATTTGTAAACAATGGGTGACGTTGCCTCCGGGCCCTACCACCGCGCCGGGGCGGGGGGGACAAGCGAGGAGGTGGCGCAGCGCGGGCCGTCACGGGCAGCGCAGGGCCGCGGCCGGAGCCTTCTTGTGTCTGCGCTGGGTGTTTGCTTAGGAGGGGATCTGGGGCATGGGGAGAGCTTCGTACTTCCCCGGCCGGATTAGCAGCACAGGACTATGGAGACTCTGAGGTGGCCACGATTGGATTCTCCCACTAACGGACACACCCACCCACACACCCAACCACTCATCCTCCGACGCTTCCTCCCTCCCCACGTGTCAGCAAGACTTGGGCGGCCCTGCTCCCCCTCCCGCGCACCCGCAGTCAGCGGGGCCCGGGAGTGGTGGGGGAGGGGCGGGCCCTGCGACCAGCTGGCTTGGGAGGGGTGGGGCTGGGGAAATTGGGGGCGGGGAGGGGGACTTCGCAATGGAGGGCGGAATCGCCCTGAGGTGGAGTCTCGGTGCCTGCTCCCTCCGCCTAGTCGTCAAGCGCTACGACCCAGCGCGAGAGAAAGACGCGCCACCGCCTGGCTAAAGAAGAGCTGACTTTGTTCATTAAAAAAAAAAAAAAAAAGCCGCGCGGCCAGTAAAAAAAGATTTAAATAGAAATATAGGGCGATGAAAAAAACCTCTCTAATCATAGGATTCAAACATGCTTCACATATTAAAAGTTTTTCTTTTCCAGCCTTTTTCTATAAAAGTGTTATACAAACAGCCACTCGTATACAACGTTATACACTTTTCCACTAGCATTATCCCGTAAACGGTGTTCGTGTTATTGCATGCGCCTTGAGAACATGTAATGATTACGCAAGTTTCCATTAAGTGGCTGTACCATAACTTACTAAATAATTCCTTTAACGTTTGCGGTTTACCTCATTTCACCGTTGTAAATAAGTGCGTGACTAACATTTTTGTGTGTAAAACTTCTTCCGTGTTGATTCTTTCCTAAGAACATATTCCCAGGAATGGGAATTCAGGTCAAAGGATATGGATATTTTAAAGTTTCTGATAAATGTACCAAATTGCTTTCCAACAGTTGGGTAAATTTACTCTCTCATCATTCATGTGTAAGCATACATTATTCGTTGCGCCTTCACTGGTATTAATACTTGAGTATTATAGTTATTTTTCTGATTTTGTAGGTGAAATGGATCTCATTTCAGTATTTATTTCTTTGCCTTTAGTTAGGTAGAGTAGTTTTCTAAATGTTTGTTAACCAACTGTACTTCCTTTTTTTGTGAATAGTTCTCTAATAAGTTTTTCCTATTGATTTTTTTCTTTTGTATTTGCATGACTCCTCTACATGCCAGTTCACTCTTTTCTTTCATATTTTGCTGTGAATATTTCTTCGGTTTTTGTTGGCCCTGTGTTGTTTTTTTTCACTAAAACTTAAAATTTAATATAGTCAAATCTACATAAAGTACCTTCCTTTGAAACTTCTAACACAATGCTAAATTTAGTCTTCTTGCCTCCAGAAAGTTATTAAATATTACGTTCTATTTTCCTGAGATTTTTCTAGTACCTTGATTTTTTTCAAATCCATCTGGATTCATTTTGGTCACTGGTGCAGGGAGATGATACGATTTTTTTCCCACCACAGAGCTTGTCACGCAGGGCTGTAGTTCTTCAGGACAGAGGTGTTTGGGCACTGTAAACACAAGCTCTGCCCTGAGCAGCTCCCAGCTGCTGGTTAAGCCGAAGGTTGTAAGGACTGGGTGGGGCTGGGAATATTATGATCAGTCTGTGTGCGGAAGTCGAGAAAAACCTTGAACAGGTTGTACCAAGACCTAAAGAGATTCACGTCTCATTCCTGCCGCGTCTGGGTGTGTGACTCCTGGCAAATCAGTTTACAAGCGAAAACACATGTAAAATGGAAAAAATAATCCCAGCCCTGCCTCCCTCTGAGGATTGCTTTCAGGATCAAATAAGATAATGGGAGCAGGCTTTGTCAGGCATTACACAAATGTAACGTGGGATTAGGTCCAATGGTTTACTCACAGAGGCCTGGCTTAATTCCAGCGATTCCCTGAGGGAATCAGCTAATATATTCATGATAAAGTTTCCCCCTTACAGCCCACTAAGTAAAACGTACCCCCAAGGCATTACTTCCTTGAACCTGCCTTGTCCCTGAATTCTGCCCCGGGACCACCCTGACCTGGGATTGATTAAGGCCTTCTTGAAGTCAGCCCAAAGGCTCCCAAATCCCAAGGTGTGACCCCCTACAACTAGTTCTGCAGGTTTTGCTGACAGATCCTTTCCCAACAAGCAGCCTTCCTCCTGCATCTCTGTGGAGGGCTCTTCACACGCTTTACTGATGAGGACTGAAAGCCATTTCCCCCAGAGAGAGTGATTTTCATTTTCATTCTGATGGTACTTACTGGAGAATTTCAAGGGGAATGAAAATTAGGGGAGGGCTTATGGATTTCAGCAGAGTTAAATAAATGGGAATTTTTTTTTCTCCTCTCTGTAAGATGATGCCTGCCCGTAAGCAGAGAAAAGCAGTTTTATGCTCCATTGACTTTAAACATTAATGGAGCTGGTGTAGCTATTGTCTCTAACCCAGCATCCCTGGAAGTCGTTTTTCTTTTCTTGTCAGGGTAATTCCCATAGTGTTCTTAGTACTAAAGGAAATGGAGCTGAGATGGCATTCTTTTAAAAATCTTCCCTTTGTAATGTTGCTTTTGTGTGGAGATTGCTATGTAAATATGCCGGGACTTGGATATTATACTATTCATTATAAAGATGAATTCATTACAAAAGACCAGTTCCATTTTCTGGGGGTACTTCTCTGGAGAGCTCTGAGAGGAAAGTGCTGTGCTGGACCAGTGGGAGGCAGAGAAATGCCCTGAATTAGGAATCAAAATACAAGATGCTAGAGAGGCTCAGATGCAATTAAAACTAATGAGAGGGTATCAGAAAGGGAAGCGATGAGGGCTATGTGCCTGGCACGCTGGGCACCTGCCTGGAAAGAGACATGGAGGGTATTCAGCATCACCCGTGGAAGGACACAGAATTCAAGGATTTTCTGAATTTGTTTGGACTTCATTGAAATTCTTCGCAAGGAGTTTGCTTTCCACCTGGACTTTGTTTTCAGTAACCTGTACTCAGACACACCAGCGGGGATGAAGAGATAGACTCTAGGCTTGGAACTCCACCTGCATCCAGCCATGTCATCCTTCTGTGCCTCAGATCCTGAATCTGTAAAATGGAGGGTGATCCTTTCTTTACAAAATTGTTATATTACATAAGAATATGTATGGGGGGCTTCCCTGGTGGCGCAGTGGTTGAGAGTCCGCCTGCCGATGCAGGGGACGCAGGTTTGTACCCCAATCTGGGAAGATCCCACATGCCGCGAAGCGGCTGGGCCCGTGAGCCATGGCCACTGAGCCTGCGCGTCCGGAGCCTGTGCTCGGCAACGGGAGAGGCCACAACGGTGAGAGGCCCGCGTACCGCAAAATAAAAAGAAAAAAAAAATGTATGGGAAGACTTATCACATGACCTTGGCAGGGGTGATGTTGGAGTGAAGCTCTGAGAAGCAGAAATAGTCTTAGTGATGTGTAAGCCTAAAAAAAGGGGAATTCTATGCTGTGGTCCATGAACAGATGAATAAACAAGCTGGGGTATAGCCATGCAATGGAATATTACTCAGCCATAAAAAGAAATGAAGTGCCGATGTGCTACAACATGATGCTCAAAAACATGCTAAGTGAGAGAAGCCAGAAACACAAGGTCATGCATGTGAAAATATCCAGAATAAGTAAACCCACAGAGGCAGAAAGTAGGTTGGTGGTTGCTTAGTTCTGGGGAACGAGAATGGTGGTGGCGGCGGAATGACTGCTAAAGGGTACGAGGTTTCCTTTTGGAGTGCTGAAAATGTTTTGGAGCTTGATAGCGGTTGTGGTTGCACAGTGCTGTGGGTGTACTAAATGTCACTGAATTGTACACTTTAAAATGGCTAATTTTATGCATGTGAATTTCACCTCAGTAAGAAAAATTCTATGCTGTATCTGGTATTTGATCTAGTTCTTTCTTTTTCTATAATTGTAACAGCAATCTATTTGGGGATGTGAAGTCATCGCAACTTCACCATGCTTCCAATGCAGGTCGCCGCTCTTTTTCGACTTTGAAGTCACATTGAAGATGTCAGATCAGCTGATTCCCTCACTCCTGTTGCATGATTTTCTGGCCAAGGTGAACTGGGTCTTTGTTTTCCCCCGGTAAGGAAGCAAAGGCTAGTCCAGAGGCAGCCAGGGGACCACGGTGGGCCTGATAAAGATCTTCAGTCATCCTTCCCATCCCAAAGTTTTCTCCTGGTTACCTTCTTCTCTCCTTTGTGCTAAGGGTGTTGGTTGGGAAAGTGGATACAGTACAGTGCCTAAAGGGAAAGGGGTTATTTTTAATAAAATTACGACCTAGGTAATCATGATTAGAATTTGCCTTGGAAAAAACTGTAGGTTCAGATCACAGATCATTGGTCGCCAAAGGTTCAGTTGGTGGAGCGGAGGCTGTGACTACAAAGACAAGCACGGGAGTTTTGGGGGGCAATGGGGGGGCGATGGAATTGCTCAGTGTCCTGACTGTGGTAATGGTTACACACATCTACACCGGTGTTAAAACTCAGAACTGTACACCCAAACAACAAAACAAACTGTAAACACACACACCATATATTAATGATGATGGCAGATGCATGGGTGTATATATTTGTCAAAACTCAATGGACCCTTCAGACTTCCCTGGTGGTCCAGTGGTAAAGAATCTGTCTTGCAGTGCAGGGGACGCGGGTTTGATCCCTGGTCAGGGAACTAAGATCCCACGTGCCGTGGGGCAACTAAGCCTGCGCGCCACAACTACTGAGTCCGCACACCTCAACTAGAGAGCCCACATGCCGCAAACTACAGAGCCCACATGCCCTGGAGCCCTCGTGCCGCAACTAGAGTGAAGCCTGTGCCACAAGGAAATATCCCACATGCCGCAACTAAGACCCGACGCAGCCAAAAAAATAAATTAAATAAATAAATGTTTTTAAAAACCTTAAAAAAAACTCAATGGAGGGGCTTCCCTGGTGGCGCAGTGGTTGAGAGTCCGCTTGCCGATGCAGGGGACACGGGTTCGTGCCCCAGTCCAGGAAGATCCCACATGCCGCGGAGCGGCTGGGCCCGTGAGCCATGGACGCTGAGCCTGCGCGTCCGGAGCCTGTGCTCCGCAACGGGAGAGGCCACAACAGTGAGAGGCCCACGTACTGAAAAAAAAAAAAGAAAAAACCTCAATGGACACTTAAAATGGGTAAATTAATTATATGTGAAATATAACCGCAATAAAGTTGATTATCAAAAATTTGCCTTCGGGGCGACTTCCCTGGCGGCGCAGTGGTTAGGAATGCGCCTGCCAATTCAGGGGACATGGGTTTGATCCCTGGTCTGGGAAGATCCCACATGTCGCAGAGTAACTAAGCCCATGGGCCACAAGTGCTGACCCCATGTGCGACAACTACTGAAGCCCGCGCGCCTAGAGCCCGTGCTCCGCAACAAGAGAAGCCACCACAATGAGAAGCCCGTGCACCACAACGAAGAGTAGCCCCCGCTCACCGCAACTAGAGAAAACGCACGCACAGCAATGAAGACCCAACACAGCCAAAAATAAATAAATAAATATTTTAAAAATTGCCTTGGAACATGAAAGACATATGCTCTATAAGTTCTCTATAAGTCACATCATATGGGAAAGTAGGAAAGATGACAAATGGGCTGTTGGTTGTGTGACAGACCAGGCCTCATGGGGCGTGGGAAGTCCTGGCAGGGTCACCACAGCCTGGAGCTCAGCTTGGGAGGCTGTAACCTCCCCCCATTCGCTTCAAGTAGGCCATTCTGGATTTTCCTCCTGGAGTAACTTTGCTTCTGGTTTCTTGGGGGAGGGAAGGCACAGGTGAGTCCAGCATCTACAGACCCTGACACACAAGTGCACTGAGGCCTTCTCTTTCCTGCTTCAGATTCGTGCAGGAAAACACCAGACCTCCTTGGAGACAGTGCTGGTCTCCTCCTCAGAAAAAGCACATGACTTCATTTGGGAAAACATAAGCCCATTTGGAAATACAGACTTGAGAACATTGTCTAAATTCATTCTTACCCGTCACAGGCCTGTGCCCCTAGGTCTAGTGAGCTGTCCAGGGCCCACAGCCTTCTGGTCCTGACGAACTTTAGAGGGGGCACCACGTTGGGAGTTGGGTGACTTGGGTAGTAGTCTTGGTTCCTCCAGTACCTGGATGCTGGGGACAGCAGTCCCAGCTCTGGGCCTCATGGTCCCATTTGCAAAGCAAGCGGTTTGGACTCAACTCCTGGAGGCTGCCCTGGCTCTAGGATGCTGCGTGAGCAGCTCGGCTGTGATATCCAGGCCCATAATCTCTAACGCTTCCTCGTACTACTCTTGCAAAATTAGGATGGCCAGCAGCTAGTGCCGAAAAAACTGACAAGGGCATTGGGAGACTTTGTGCTTTTTACTCTGTTTCCAATTCTGTAAAATGGACATAATAAAACCATCTAATTTAGGAGCTGTTCTAAGCAGAGAAGGAGGAGCCAGCTGCACCTGGTGCTCAGCTTGACAGCCCCAAGTAAACCACGGCCCCTCCCTCTTAATCCAGGCCCTGTGAATGTACACTTTTAGAAACCTATTAGCCTTGATTTGGGGTTCATTCTTTTCTCTCTACTACTATGTGGTTTTAATATTTTCTTTTCTAGCAGTCTTGCCATATATTTGGCTTTTATTATATAAATCTGTGGATACAGATGGACTATACATTTAAGTAAAATAAAATTGCTGTCTCCCCCAAAGAACAAACAAACCTTCAAGGTTAAATTAGATAAGAATTTAGGTAATAATTCCTAACATTTATCTGTAGTTATTATTGTGCCATGTACTGAGCTTAATGCCTTACACATACATTTTATTTTATCCTCAAAACAAATGTGTGAGTTAGATATGATCATCTCTATAGTATAATATAGAGATCTATAATATAAAGAGGATATTCTCTCTAGGGAAACTGAGGCACAGAGAAGTAAAGTAACCAGCCCAAGGTTACACAGCTAGCAAGTGGGAGACTGGCCTTTGGGTGACCGACCATCCCAATTTGCCTGGGACCCTCCTGGTTTTAGCCCTGAAAGCCTGCTGTCCTGGGAAATTGCCCTAATCTCAGGCCAACCAGGATAGCTGGTCGCCGTAACTCAGTGGTCCTCAACACTGAGGGCAACGTGGCTCCTCAAGGGACGTTCTGCAATGGTAGTTGTTATAGTAATGGTAGTTATTACTATTTGTATTACTATTACTATCACATATAATTTTTTAACTTCTCATCCTCCCTCTTCTTACCACCATGATATCCCTACAAAAGTATTATCAGTTCTACCAAACCACTTCCCATGCTTGTAGGAGGAGGAAGGGTGTTGATTGGGAGTACCCAAAGTGAAAGACACCTACTTTTACTTTTTTAAAACTCTTTTTTCCCTTGCTTTTGGAGCAATTATTTATTTATTTATTTATATTTTTTGGCCACACCGCGCAGCATGTGGGATCTTAGTTCCCCGACCAGGGATCAAACCCACGCCCCTGCATGGGAAGTGCAGAGTCTTAACCACTGGACTGCCAGGGAAGTCCCTACTTCAAAAAAAAATTTTAACCAGAACCCACTTTTCTGGCTCAGCCAGTGTTTTTTTTTTGCGGTACGCGGGCCTCTCACCGTTGTGGCCTCTCCGGCTGCGGAGCGCAGGCTCAGCGGCCATGGCTCAGGGGCCCAGACGCTCTGCGGCATGTAGGATCTTCTCAGACCAGGGCACGACCAGTCTGCCCTGCATCGGCAGGCGGACTCTCAACCACTGCGCCACCAGGGAAGCCCTCAGCCAGTGTTTAATGAGAGCTCCGAGCCTGCCCCATCCCGTGCAGCCTTCAGCCAGGAGAAGAAGGCTGGCTGCGGAGCAAGAGCAAAGGCAGCTGAATACATCAACGAGTAACCCCCCTGAGCTGCTGCTGCTGTGTTTTGTGCTTTCTTCCAAACCTGGATCCTCAAAGGGGACTTTGCTATTCTCTTTTCTGAAAAATGAAAGTACATTGTAAATAAAATCATTTCAAAGCATGGTTGCTTAGTGGTTTCTACACAAAGGGAAAATCCTCTAAAAGGTAAACAGCCCAACCAAATGTAAGGTAGG